CCCCCCCCCCCCCATCCCAACCCCGCTGTGGCTGCCCCACTCACTGCAGCTCCAGCCCTTTAAGGAAAAAAAAATGAGAAAAAACCCCGCACTTACGGGTTCCTGCCCAGCGGGGGGCGATCCCCACTGTCCCCTGCTATGTGGATGGCTCCTCCAGGAGCCCCCTGAAGGCTACAGGAGTGGTAAGTCCCGTGGTTTTTCTCAGGGTTTTTTTTTTCTTAAAGGGCCAGAGCTGGGGCCAGTGAGGTAGCTATGGGCGGGCATAGGGGAGTCAGAGGGCTTCTGGCAGAGCCCCCCATGCAGCATGGGGCAGTAGGGGGCAGCAGGGATCACCCCTGCCGCTCGGCAGCACCCGGTGAGTGGGCCTTTTTTTTTTTTTTTAAAGCACCGGGAGCTGGGGCGGGTGCAGCGGCCATGAGAGGGCTGGGGGAGTGGGCAGGGATTGGCAGGTGTTCAGCAGAGCTGGGGGATCAGGTAGGGGATGGGGCCTGGTAGGGGTCCCTCCATGGTACCCCCCCCCTTCCAGCCCCTGCTTACCAACTCAGAGTCTGGCTCCAGCTCCCTGCTGGGCAGGGACTGTCAGAATCATCCAAGTTCTCCCAATCTTTTACAAAGATTCGGAGAGCTTTGAATTGATTCAGACCTTTTAATTGGTCCCCGATCCAATTCAGATTTGGAGATTCAGCCACCAAATCGGGCCGAATCTCCTCCGAATCGAATCACCACCTGAAGCTTCACACAGTGCCTTAGTAAACGCACAATGGAATCTAATCCACACAATGCATAATCCACACAATGGCAGGAGGCACGATTGTGGGACTGCACATTAGATTGATCCTATCGTACCTTATTGCCAGAGCAGGGAGAGCTTGAACCTGGGCTCCCCCTGCACCAGCAAGAAGCAAGGTCCCATGACTAGAAGCCCCCTCAGCTAAGGGGCTGCAACTGTGGGGGATGCCCAACACATATGCAAAGGCTGGGAAACACAGCTGTCATGAACTCCCAGCTTTGGGGCTCCATGAAACCCTTGCAGCTGGGGTCAGCTGTGGAGCCCCTGCTACATGTGCAAATTAAAGCTCAACAGCAATCAGCTATGAAGTTAGTACACATTTTGAGGTCTAACTTGATAGCTGGTTGGAGCTTTTTATGGTGTGATAGCTACTTTGCACACGTCTCAAGGTAAATGTGCAATTAAGCAGTTAATTGCATGATACCTGTAATGTGTAGAAAGGGGCCTAATTGTTGAATTACATTTCTTAGCTATGTACATATAGAC